ATATGATCAAACCATAGAAGCAAAATTAAAAAATCCAGAGTGAATATCCAGATTCTACTAAATCCTCATAAATATGATTATAGAATGACAGCTCATACAATAAGATTTAAAGGAATAATGTAAGTAAGAAGATTTCCATATTACTGTATTAACAAATAGATCACAAAGAATAATAATAATAATATCCAGGTTTAGACAGAAGAGCTCAGTTTAGCATTATCTTCACACCTAACTCATTCTCATAGCAGATTCTGACAAACACAAATTATAGCTTTGCCATCTATCATATATAGCACACCAGGATCGGCACAAAAATTGTCTTGTAGAAGACACTTTAAAACTAAAATGAAATATCAAGTCTTTTAATGAGCAATACAAAATGTCATGCTCAGTGCTGACAAAATACAGCTACTGTACTTCAACATGGAAAACAAACACAAAGGGAACAAGCTACAAAATAATAGCAAGATCTTTCATAGAACATAGTGAACAAATAAAACATTAAGGAATGCCACAATAAAGCAAATGCCATAAACAGAAAAATTCTAGGGTAGATTATGAGACACTTCAAAACATGGTATTTGCCACACCAATGATGAAACACTGTACACCAGTTGATTGACAATTGAGAGGTGGGATCAAAGAGACAAAGCTCAACCCCACCAAGCACAAATAGGTGAGTACTGTATGGCACTGCTACCTTCTTATCTAGAATAGTGTTGTGTGCTCTACCTTCAAGGTGCAATGTTCTAGCTAGAAAACACACACACACAACGTTTACTGCTTGTACATTATCAGTAAAGCATTTAAACTGATAGAGCGGCCTCCAAGCACTCAAAATGTGGTCCCTGAAAAGGCGACGAAATCTCAAAATCTATACAGTACAAAAAGACTCGAAAGTCAAGTTTCTAACATGCACAATACAATAACTTACTGGAGTTAGAAACATAGGAGTGGAGAATGAGCACAACAAAAAAGGGTGCAACAATCACAGTTAAAGAACAATCACTTTCAAAGAAGAACAATGTTCTTTGCCAACAATTCATGTTGGCAAAGAATTGACGTGTTCTTCTTTGCCAACACGAGATGGTCCATTACATTTCAACCTTCTATGAGCAAACAAGTTTATAATCTGATTATATATGCTGCTGTTCAGGGCATTACATCCACCTTTTAATTTACCTGAAGCCTACTGTATGTATGCTAGCTCCATAAATTATACAGTACTTTTTATTTCAAAATGTATATACATACCACCTCTTGGAGGGTGAAAATACATTTAAAAGACATCATTTCAAATATTTATTTTCAGAAATATCTAAATGGTTAACAATAGAGTTCTTGTAGTAAATGTTACCTAGACACCAACGAAATACTGTACATTTTACATTTTACCCTTAATAAATTTACAAAATCTGAATATAATCAAAATTGGATTTACTTTGACTGTAGTCAATGAAGAGAGGTTGTTCCTGGGCTGGCATATTTTAGGAAACAAACAATGGGAGAATGAGAACAGTAGCCGTGCTACGGAGTATAAAGAGTACAGGGAGTACGAGTGTATTGAGCATATTGAGTGCAGGGAGTAATGAATTCAGGCTGCTTGCTGTTTAGGGATGCAGAGGTTGAAGTGTTGTGTTGGAACTGTGCAGTTAATGTGCTGGTGGTATTGAGTTACGGAAGTGTTATGACATGCTAATACTGTACTGTGATGGCGGGAATGTGTTGTGGTGGTGGGGATGTGGTTCTGAGATTAAGTTTCCTTGACCTTTCCTCATTGTTTAACCCTCTCAGTTCTGGCACTAATGTTGGAACAAACTTCTGTACTTTTTAAAGTTTGTTGACCAGACCACACACTAGAAGTTGAAGGGACGACGACGTTTCGGTCCGTCCTGGACCATTCTCAAGTCTTTTAAAGTTTGGTTTTGTGCTTCATGAGGGTAGGATTCTAGCCCAGTGCTGCATCTTGTAGTATTGGTATTAAACCTTGAAGTGCATAAGTCTCTCAACCCTGGGTTGCTCCAATGTGCAATTTTTAAAATATGAAAAAATTATTTTATATGTTTCTTTGCAAATGTGTTAAATAAACAGGAGGAAAATATTTAAATCCATAGAGTCTCTTGGATACAAGGTTTCAAATTAAATTCTGCTAACAGTAGTTCTTCAAATTTAAATAAAGAAATACATCTTAATTTTACATATTTTCTTGTAGAATTCATGGAAACCATTAAATAAATATAGGAAAAAGAAGAAAAATACAAAAAATGGCTCATACTGTCTGTCCTCTTTTTTTCTTTAATATTAAGAATATTTTCCCATACTTTTGGGAAATCTCCTGTTTTGAGTGTTTTATTGAAAACTTTAATTAGTGACTGACACAGTACTGTACCTCTACAGCCATAGTGACATCAAGTCTTGGCTTAATGATTTTGTCGCACCTAGTTCCTCCAGGTGTTTTTCACCTCATCTACAGTGCCTTTTATATCATCTAGTATTTCTTCTGGCAACTACATGACAAACTAGATGATGATTCTTCCATCTTGCAATGTATTGTAATATCATTGGTTGTTCTGTGAAGTAAGTAATTATCAAAAGAAGGCACCAAACTGGGAAGGCTATCTTCTTGAGATGATTTCGGGGCTTTTAGTGTCCCCGCGGCCCAGTCCTCGACCTGGCCTCCACTCCCAGGAAGCAACCCGTGACAGCTGACTAACATCCAGGTACCTATTTTACTGCTAGGTAACAGGGGCATAGGGTGAAAGAAACTCTGCCCACTGTTTCTCGCCGGTGCCCGGGATCGAACCCGGGACCACAGGATCACAAGTCCAGCGTGCTGTCCGCTCGGCTCGACCAGGCTATGTGGTTGTTCTGTGAAGACTTTTGAAATCTCTTCTTGAGCTCACACACCTTATCATGTTCCATGAGAATTCCATTGGATCTCCTCAAACCAGTTCACAAGGACTCTGTTTTTCTCCATATATGGCTATGCATTGATTGGTACTGTACTTAGCTTTTTCTGGAAAGTTGTTTTCAAATTGCATCTCAGCTTCCCTCTTGACTTAGGTGTGTTGGTATTGCTGGGGTGGTGGTGATTGTGCTACAGGTGCTGTGTGCGGTGGTAAGTATAGTGACTACAGTTAGTGGGCGGTGGAGGTAATAATAGTAATAGTGGGGGCAGTGGCAATAAGAGATGGTGGTGGTAATAGCAGACAGTAGAAGTGGCAATGATAATAGCAGTGTCAGTGGTAATTGCAGAGGTGGTGATGGTCATAACAGTGATGGTTGTGGTGGTCATAGCAGTGATGGTTGTGGTGGTCATACAGTGATGGTTGTGGTGCTCATAACAATGATGGTTGTGGTGGTCATACAGTGATGGTTGTGGTGGTCATAGCAGTGATGGTTGTGGTGGTCATACAGTGATGGTTGTGGTGCTCATAACAATGATGGTTGTGGTAGTCATACAGTGATGGTTGTGGTGGTCATACAGTGATGGTTGTGGTGGTCATAGCAGTGATGGTTGTGGTGCTCATAACAATGATGGTTGTGGTGGTCATAGCAGTGATGGTTGTGGTGGTCATACAGTGATGGTTGTGGTGCTCATAACAATGATGGTTGTGGTGGTCATACAGTGATGGTTGTGGTGGTCATACAGTGATGGTTGTGGTGCTCATAACAATGATGGTTGTGGTGGTCATACAGTGATGGTTGTGGTCATAACAATGATGGTTGTGGTGCTCATAACAATGATGGTTGTAGTGGTCATAGCAGTGATGGTTGTGGTGGTCATACAGTGATGGTTGTGGTGCTCATAACAATGATGGTTGTGGTGGTCATACAGTGATGGTTGTGGTGGTCATACAGTGATGGTTGTGGTGGTCATACAGTGATGGTTGTGGTGGTCATACAGTGATGGTTGTGGTGGTCATAACAATGATGGTTGTGGTGGTCGTAACAGTGATGGTTGTGGTGGTCATACAGTGATGGTTGTGGTGGTCATACAGTGATGGTTGTGGTGGTCATAACAATGATGGTTGTGGTGGTCATACAGTGATGGTTGTGGTGGTCATAACAATGATGGTTGTGGTGGTCGTAACAGTGATGGTTGTGGTGGTCATAACAATGATGGTTGTGGTGCTCATAACAATGATGGTTGTGGTGGTCATACAGTGATGGTTGTGGTGGTCATACAGTGATGGTTGTGGTGGTCATAACAATGATGGTTGTGGTGGTCATACAGTGATGGTTGTGGTGCTCATAACAATGATAGTTGTGGTGGTCATACAGTGATGGTTGTGGTGGTCATAACAATGATGGTTGTGGTGGTCGTAACAGTGATGGTTGTGGTGGTCATACAGTGATGGTTGTGGTGGTCATAACAATGATGGTTGTGGTGGTCGTAACAGTGATGGTTGTGGTGGTCATAGCAGTGATGGTTGTGGTGGTCGTAACAGTGATGGTTGTGGTGGTCATAGCAGTGATGGTTGTGGTGGTCGTAACAGTGATGGTTGTGGTGGTCATAGCAGTGATGGTTGTGGTGGTCGTAACAGTGATGGTTGTGGTGGTCATAGCAGTGATGGTTGTGGTGGTCGTAACAGTGATGGTTGTGGTGGTCATAGCAGTGATGGTTGTGGTGGTCGTAACAGTGATGGTTGTGGTGGTCATAGCAGTGATGGTTGTGGTGGTCATAACAGTGATGGTTGTGGTGGTCATAGCAGTGATGGTTGCGGTGGTCGTAACAGTGATGGTTGTGGTGGTCATAGCAGTGATGGTTGTGGTGGTCGTAACAGTGATGGTTGTGGTGGTCATAGCAGTGATGGTTGTGGTGGTCGTAACAGTGATGGCTGTGGTGGTCATAATAAGTGGTGGTGGTACAGGTAGCTGCAATAGTAATAGTAGCCAAAGTGTGGTGATGGTGTAAGCAAGAGAGTAAGGTGGAGGTGAAGGGATAGGTGTCAGACAGCCAGTGTACACAATACAAGGGCAGAGTAAAAGAGATGGAGTACATCGCACATTAATTTATGATCTATAGAGTACATCATACTTCTTTTAAAATGAATTCAGACATGCATCCAGTAACCTTTAACATCCCTTACATTTTATTTACATCCAGATTTAGTAAATATAAATATACAAAATTTAGAAAAAATGATTTGGTAAATGGGGGCCAGTCTGTAAAAAAAAAAAAAAAAAAAAAAAATGCTCATCTGCACTGAGCTGCTAAGCACCACAAATTATATTGTTGAAGTGTTGACATACAAAATAAATACAGTATGACAATAAACTATACATTATATACAATACTGTATCTGATAATTTAATACAACTAGGCATAAAATAAATCGATGCCTTTTAAGACCTGTCACAACAGAACAAATTACACAACGGTAGTGTGCTCGCCCTAGTCCTAGTGTGCTCGTCAGGCTGCGAGCAGCCACGTCCAACAGTCTGGATGACCAGTCCAGCAACGAGGAAGCCTGGTCAACGACCGGGCCGCGGCGACGCTAAGCCCCCAAATCACCTCAAGGTAACCCTCAAGGTAAGGTAGTCCTCATTGAGGACCTAATTTTCACAGATTCATGGATCATGTTCCAGGGACTCTAGAAGGTTAAGGCTTAAGATAAGTTGTGGGAAGATGGAACTAAGTCTGCTAACAAGAGATGTGATGTCATCTGGCCTTGTACTACTTATGTATACAACAAATAAAAATAGGAGAGTGAGCTCTAAATATAGTACAGTATTGTATATACTTTTTACAATACTTTACCTAGGCATGTTCTATGGCCTGAATAATATAAACATCTTCCTCTCCACCTTCTCGATAAAGGTCTGGCAGGTTACGTAGGTCTTCAACAACAGTGATAATCTCGGAGCCATTCATATTTACACTAACATCTGCCACATTGCTAACCCCTACTACTTCATCTACACCCTCAACCATACCCATTTCTCCATCTATATTAATATCATCTATTCTGACTTCATTTCCAATTATAATAGATTTTGGAACATTGATAGCTGTAATACTGGAAGGATCCTTCTTATTTTGCTCAGTATTCTCCAAGGAATTTGTAACTTCCATAATCCCTGCACCAGCACGACGCTGTGGTTTTCTGTACAGATAAGAGTATGGAAGGTGATGTGTACCTTCCATATGAGTTTTGAGAGCCGAAGGGCGGTGAAAGCTCAAGCCACATTCTTGGCATTTGAACGGCCGCTCACCAGTATGAACTTTTAAATGGTACGTAAGAGCAGACTTGTTCTTGTAACTACGTCCACAAAACTCGCAAAAATATTGACGCTTCTGCAAATGCACTTGTTCATGGTGTGTGCGAAGCAAAGAACTACTAACAAAACCTTTATTGCAAATCTTACATATGTGCGCTCTTGCATTTTGGTCATGACGCAGTTTATGGTGAGCTAGGAGACTGGATCGCAAAAAAAATACTTCTCCACATTCCTCACATGGAAACTGCACAGCTCGAGTGTGAAGATTCATGTGCACATCCACATGAACAAAATATTTTTTGCAAACTGGGCATTCATTCTTTGGTGCATTTTGCCTGTTTTGACCATGCTGCTTAGCCATGTGCTTATTCAATAAGATACGACTGGAGACATTTTTACCACACAAATGACATTTAAGTTCAGCACGATCCTCTAATAAATCTGCATGAACAGTGCGACAATGATACATATACTTGCTGTAGGATGTTACCTGGATACTACAATATTCACAGTCCATATTAGTTACATCTGCATGTGCTCTTGTAAAGTGATGTTCAACATGCTGTCTATGCTTAAACTTGAGCTTGCAAATTGGACACCAACAGCTACCATTTTCATGGCCATCCCTGTGTAACTCAAGTGCACGTTTACCCTTAAATCCATGACCACATATTTCACACTGCCTGGTATACTTTTGTGGGTGATGCTCATGATTATGACGGGAAAGACCTGCTGGACTAGGAAACGTAAGATTGCAGTCAAAGCACTTGTGTGATTTCCGCCGACCTGGTCGACCACGCCTTCTCTTTACTTTCCTCAGGTGTTGATCTGAAGAGACGTTTGTCATGACAGGCACTGGCTCCCGTGCCAATAAATGTTCATCAATATGTTCTTCCATCTCATCTTGTGGAATCAGCTCTTCACATTGATGGCATATTGATGCTGAATCAACATCTTTTCCTCCTATATGAGGCTCTCGTCTATGGCTTCGATAATCATTAAAAGTGCCAGTGGTAAAGTCACAAAATTCACACTTTAATAAAAAATCACCAGTATGATTAGCTTCAAGATGCTTGAGAAAAGGATATTTATATCCAAAATGAACTCCACAGAAGTCGCATGCATACGAGCCCAAAAAATGCTCAACGATATGAAGTTCAAGTTGTTGCTGGTGAAGAAAGCGGTCGTCGCAAAGTCTGCATGCATGAGTTAAAGTTTTAGGGTGAATTAATTTGATATGTCTATCTAAGTCAGCTGGAGAACCATACATTAAACTACACTTTATACAATCACTCATTTTTCGGGGTCGACCTCTTTTGAGAGGAGGCTGGGGATCTGTGCATGGAGTTTCAGCCAAACCTTGCTCTTTTAAAAGATTGGCATACTGCTTTAAGCAGTCATTTACATGTTCTTCTTTATGCTGTTGCAACTCTAGTTTCTCCTTGAACACACTAGAACAAAAATTGCAAGACAATGAGTTAGTCCTTGACTGATGAGCATTAAGAAATGGGCATACTGAAAGATGTTGTGTAATAGTAGCCAAATTATTTTCTTCTAATCCACATTTCTCACATTCATAGTTGCAATGATGAGAAGCAAGGCTTTGTGCAGAAGTGAAAATATGACCACAAGATTTGCAGGTTAAAATCATACGACAAAAAGGGTTCTGACTAGTCACAAAAAAATGCTTCAGCTCTGGCGTTGTCTCCAGCAACTGAGCGATGTCATCTTCAGGTATTTCCTCGTGAAGTTCGTCCTTAGATTCCGCAAGTGCCATCTCCTCGTTTCCCTGGGAAAACATGGCTGCTGTACTATTTCTGCTCCTCACTGCTTAATCATAAATCTTTAATATAAAACAGCTATCTCAGGATAAATGTCTATTTACTTTAATGTCCAATATTCTTTTACAAGAAAAGTCCTGTATTATCTAAATACGTTGCAATAAAACATTGGTATCTTCCCTAGCATGTTTAATATAACATTTATGTAGTAACTAAAAAAAGTTAACACAGAACCATACATACACTAATTAAAAAACATTACAAATATAGTACTGTATCAAACAGTTTCATTTTAGCTAATAAAGCTAGCTATTAAATTTTTTTCTTGAAGCTGATAATATAGTGGTAAGTTATGGAGAATGAGACAACACAGTATCATGAAGTTCAATAATATAGATATGTAGAGGGTTATTTATCTACATACACTGTATCACCCTATATGAGGTGTCACCTGCAGAGAGAGCAGATGACAACATGCCACTTCACCAGAAAAAGCCTCCAGAAAGTTAGTACAGCTTTACAAACAACCAGAGGGTTCACAGAAAATGAAGCCTCAAAAATCACCAAACAACTAAGTGGCACAAACCAGCCACACAGAACAAGGGGTTCATGCAAACGATCTCAAAACCCATTAGTACCTATTACTACCACTAAGTGGCCTGTCCCCGGCTCCCATCTGGTTTCCCTAGTCAGTTCTAAATCTGATGAAGAAACCCACAACAAACCAATGAGTTGAGGGAAAAGGGGGAGGGAAGAGGAGGCAGAGAACCACTGGGGCTCTCCTAGAAATTGGCATTTTATTGTATTCAACACTTGAGTATCTGGAGGGAGTCCCTTGTAGCTCCCTAAAGCTAATCACAGAAACAAATCCCCAAATACAGCAGAGAAGGTAAAACTCTGGGCAAGGTAAACAAGGGCAGCAGTAGTGGACACACCACACGGGGAATAAAATCTTGATTACATGCAGGCAGGTGTACCAAGAGCCAAGCCCACACAACAAGTCAAAAGCAAAGCACGCACATTCGACAGTAAAGCAAATGGCCCCCCCATTTGCTTTAATGGCCCCTTGAAGCATTGGGGCCTACCTATGAACTGGCGTGACCAGAAACACTAGAAGTTGGTGGTGACACCAACATCAAGAACAGAACTGACTAGCGGGCCAGCCAGAAGCCAGGGCAAGACTGCCTGGTGGTGGTAATCAGCATTACCACCACCAGGTTTTGAGTGTTGAGTTTGTTTGAGTGATTCCCGTGTTACGTGTGACTCGTTTATGGCAATTGTTTGGTAGATTTTCGAGTCTTCATTTTCTGTGAATTCTCCAGTTGTCTGTAAAGCTGTGCAGGCTATCTGGAGGCTTTTTCTGGTGAGGTGGCAGATTGCCACCTGCTCTCTGACTCTGTGAGGGAGGGACTAGGGTCTGGCTCGTGTCCCCGGCAGCACAAACCGAACTAGCCACTGCAGTTGTAATCATTAGGTATGAAGCAATCTCAGAAAGATAGCTTCAGGGAGCTGCAAGGGGCTTCCTTCAGAAATCACCCTACAATATGATTATACTCTACTAGACTCTGTTTTAATAGTTCTGTGTGTACAGCAGAAAGGGTTCAAATCTGTTGGGAATTTTAGTACAATGTATCTGCTTCATATGAACGGGGTTATGTGACCAAATGAGAACGGAATATATCAGCATATATTTAAATGTTAAATAAAGTGCAATACAGCACACCAACAAAAAGAATTAACTCCCCCCCCTTGCAACAGAACCCATGGACACCACACAAGAAACAAATATAATCTATTGAATATTCTGAGAGAATGACAACTAAAGCAGAAACGTTATGCAAATAAAAACGGCCTAAAATGAGCAGTTACCTCTCAAATGCAATAAAATGTTGTACTTTTTAACCATTTTAGAAGAGAAACATTGAAACACAGTACCAAATAATCATATACTGTACTCATTTATGTATCTTCCAAAGCAAGTAACAATTCTTACACATTTCTCCATCCAAATTTTGGCAATTTGTGTTTGCTGTTATTGTTAGCCCTTAAAGTGCAGTTATTGTCATATGTTGATTACCAGGATAACTTGGTTATCATCTTAGGGTGATTTTAGTTATCACCATCTGGTTTTTTATACAAATGTAAAAATGGTTATAATAGCCATGGAGAGTCCTGGTAGTACAGTTGGATCTGTTCTTGACTCACAATCGAGAATTCCGGGTTCGTATCCCAAGCAGGTCAGAAATGGTTGGGCACGTTTCCTATCACCTAATGCCTCTATCCGCCAGTAAACAGGTACCCAAGAGTTAGTCGGCTTGTTGTGGGGCTGCATCCTTGGGAGGGTCAGTAATACAAGCGGGGAAGGGGAGACTCGATATATGCCTAACATGTACTGCATGTATACACTGGCTGCCTGTCCCCTGACACAATGAATTTTACAGTATACTGTACTCCGCTTGTTGTACTTGCAGGGGTTGGGTTGAGGCGGGACTCTATGGTCCCGCCTCTCAACTGTATATCTTTATGAATCTAAATTAGTTAACCAAGAGTCCAAGATCCATGAAAGAAAATGCTCTTTTTTAATTCTAATTGACAGGCAGTCAGTGCATATATACATGTTAGGCTTATATCGAGGTCTCTCCAAGGGCGAACTACTGACCCTCCCCAGGATGCAACCCCACAACAAGCTGACTAACTCCTGTGTACCTATTTACTGCTAGGTGAACAGGACCCATTAGGTGATAGGAAACGTGCCCAACCATTTCTGTCGCACCCAGGACAGAAATTAACCTAACCTTTTGTGGTATGTTTTAATCCCCCTTTTTTGGGGGAGGGGGGGGGGGGGAAGAGTGAGGACATGTTCTCCCACAAGGCACATACGTCTCCTAGATATTTTTCTTTTTCTCAGATTTTTGGCATATTCCCAAGATTCTGGTATAATCAGTGTATGTTCAAGACAGTGTCTAATGCCCAGTGGAAGAGTTGTGATTCTCATCCAGGCTTGCATTTTGTGACCTTATCTTTAAAGTACAAAATTAAGTTGGCTTTCTTTACATGTCTTCCCTTAGTGGGCACCAAAAGTAATTTTTCTTACAGTAGTAAATAGGTACCCTAAAGTTAAGACTGTTTTGGGTTGTATCCTGGGGAAGATCAGTAGATGGCACATGCAAACTTGATAAACCTAAATAGATTTCCTGTCCCCGGCTATAATAAATCATGGAAAACCGTAACATGGTAAAAAATATCAGGGTGAATATCAAATACAATATCTTATCTTTGAATATCAAAGGTAAGAGTAAAAACTTTTGTATTCATATTACGGTACCTGCCCACTATTCAGCACGATAAAAGCTTATTCATGAAGAAAATATTGAAAATATTAATTTAAACAAAATAAATAATTTCTGTTTCTCTGACTAGGCCTACAACATGCGATGGAAAGGCAGCACAATTTTTTTTACTAAATGTCAATTTATTTTGACTTTAAAATTCTTAATAATGTATTTTTAAATAAATACTCGGTATGTTTGTACGTCCAATATAAATACTGTACTGTATTGTTTACGTAACATAACTCGCTTAGACCTTCACAGAACAATTCATCCTTAACCTGGAAAGTTCTACCCACTTGTTTGTTTTTACCTTGAAAATTTGACACCACTCGCACTTTACAATCCTTCATTTAAATATTAACCTCTCACAGGTTTGCTAGCATGAAGCTTAAAGTTATGAACTAGTCAAGATGGAAAGCTATACTACAACACAACAATTCAAACAGGTCTACCTGCAGTACCAGATTTTCCAAATATTTTTAAGAAAGTTTTGTGAAAAATACCACAATTACCTATTATAATAGTTTAATGCTTCATAGGAATAGCTGATGCAATAGTCAACTAAATGCAAACAATATTAATTTAATTGTTAAACCATATATTTAGGTTTTTTAGTTACAGTATAATACACAAGTCCAGCTCCAACACACTATTCCATAAGTTCTACATATATAACCTGCATGTCACCTTCCACAACATGGACTACATGTCCAGCTTCTCCCACCTCTGTTATAAGTTGGGATGTATCACCAACATCCTCTGCTACAACTTGCACATCTACAGTTTGATCAATGGATCGATTGGGAACAACCTCAGAGGGGCCAGTGGTAGATTCTAGTACATCGGATGTAGCTGTTCTAAAGTATCGTCGAGTGCGATGGTGAAGACCATGAGCACGTGCTAAATGTGTAGTCAATTCTGAAGGGCGACTGAAAGCAGCTTCACACGAGGTACAGCCGTGTGGACGCTCCCCTGTATGTGTACGCCGGTGATAAGTTAAATCACCAGCCTTAAAATATGCACGACTGCAAAACTCGCATTTGTATCGCCGTTCATTCTGATGTGCGGCAGTATGGCGTAATAGCTCATGGCGTGTGATATAAGCTTTATTACATATGTGACAAATAAATCTAGCATAGTGCTCACGTAAATGATGTCTTTTTACATGCTCAGAAAGCTTTCCTTGATTGAAAAATGCTTGGCCACAAAAGGAGCATTCACTTTTATGTTCTCTGGTATGCTTTTCATTGATGTGAGAAGCAATCAAATACTTACTCAGTTGCTTTCCACAATGAATGCATTCTACCAACTCAGCATGGCGAGCTGCCTTATGCTGGCTCAGCTCTCTACCAGAATGAAATTTTTCTCCACATTTTGTACATCGTACATTACGTGCCAAGCCAAGTTGGTCTGGATGACGAACAAGAACATGTGTAAAAAGTGCATTAATAGATTTTGCTACATAGGAGCAATGCTGACACCTGAATGATGCAGTATCAACATGAACAGCATCACAGTGGCTTCGCAGATGATGAAACTTTGCAAACTGTTTTTCACATAAAGGACACTGTACTGCCCCTGTAGTATGCGTCTCTGTATGATCTAGTAATCCACCACTAGACTGAAATCTTAAAAAGCATATTTCACACTGAAAACTTGGTCGTTCTCCATGTACC